TAATTTGTTAATTTTACTTCCAGTCTGTGACACACCTTTAAACATCTCTCAGTAATTGCAGAGAACCAAATCAATTAGCCCGCCCAACCTATGACGTTAAAAAAAGTTGTTTCAGCGGAATGATAACGTCATTAAAGATGACGTTTCTGGTGTTCTGCAAAGTACATACATATAAAGCTAACCATTTGTTTAGAAAAAATATATATCGAATGTTGAAGCGTTTCTCCTGCAACCAGCATAAATATTTGCTCACTCTGCTATGAATCAAGTCACATGTGGTCTAACATCGGAGGCAAACACGAGTAACAAGATACCGTTGTTTTCTCAAGCGACGACCAATCGTCACTATATGTGAAATTGGTAATTATAAACACAAGTACGCAAATGACGATATCGCTAAAGGTTTGTCTATCCTCAACACGAGCAATTATGCCCTTCAGCCTACGGGGATTAACGCGCGCATCGAACCCCAATTAGCACGCGCATTCTTGCGGGACGCCATCAGCGCGCTCATCTCACGTGGCCGACGTGAAGGATCCTGATGGCTATTAACGCTTCATGGGGAGGGGAGACAATGCAGACTGAGCTTGTCTTTGATAACGGGCAATGGTAATTGTACCGTTACAAGAGCTGCGGCGACCCTATTCGAGATTGTTTGATAATGGATCTTTACAAGTGTATATATCAGACACACATGCATGGTATGCTTTGTCTCAGCTGGAACTTGAGCGCTTTCGGGGGTTGCCTCAAGACATTATTTTTCGTTTTCTTGGAGCATGTTAAGAAGCCATGTCATTATCTAATGCTGACTGTGACATGACAACGTCCTGTCACTCCCTTTTCTTGCTTTGCAGTGAAAGCAACTCTCACTTCCACATTCATCTAACGCTTAAGCCCCTCTTCCTCAATTACTTAATACTCGTGAAGATCCGGGTTGGAATTGGTCTTCAGCAACTCATGCCTGTTGTAAGAGGCAACTAACGGGATCGGGTGGTCAGGCTCACTGACTTGTTGACATTTATTGTCGTATCCCAGTTGCGTAGATCGATGTTCATGCTGTCAATCACTGGATTGTCTGGTCCAGACTCGATATATTTACGGACCGGCGTCATACTGCATTGAAATTGCTGAGTGTGGCGTTAAACAACACACAGACAAAGAAAATGAATTGCTCAAAACGCCACACGTACTCTCTTCCTCATATAACGAACGTCATACATTTAGCCGCTCTCAGGGACACAAATACGCACACGCACGCACGCATACACAAACACAAATGCGCATACAAACGCCACAATTACACCAACAAAGACGTCACACTCAAGACAAGCATGCAATTAAGGTGATACGGAGTTATCTAAACAAAGGGGAGGTAATCTATGTCCTGAGTCTCAGGTCATCTGGTAGCCATACCTCCCCCATAAAAGAGTCAGTTAGTTTCCATGATGTACACCATAGCCCCATTCTCTGTGACGTGAAGCCAAGGAACAGGATCAATCAAGTCAACGTATCTAAAGTCGGGGTCTTACCGAAACGTCGACCCCTAGGGTTGAGGGTAAAATCCTTTGATGTGATATGTTGTTTTAACGATGTTGTTTCAAGGGTATAAGTCTGGGTGTCACCAAAGGTTGAACTCAGGTGCGAAAAGTGATCACCAATTTAAGCATGCGATCTGTTCACCTACTTGAATATTATTTAGTGAGTTCACTCAATGCCACTCTGTTGAAATTGTATCATTTAAATCGTATAACCACGTGAAAGGCAAATGTGAACCTAAATATTATTCATATGGAATAAAAAAGTTAATTTTTTTGCACACATGATTAAGATATATATGACGAGTACACTTAATTATGATTTATTTAGAATAAATATTTAAAAATGACGCATCATGACAATGTGGCCATGGATGTGAGACTGTTCTTCATTACTTCCTTGAATGTCCATTGTATACTACTCAAAGACATAAACTGTTACAATCTTTAGAAAGTATTGTTAAAAGTAGAACACTGATTGGTATTAATCGTCTCATTTACTGAAAATCAGAAGTTTTCAAATATGTACATATCTATTTCTCTCCAACAAAACGTTTTCTCAGTTAACTTCTGTTGTACATATCCTATCATTGTGAAAGGGCTTTTCTATCAATAAACACAATCAAACCTCTCAGTGACAAACCTGTTTTTATATTCGTTAATAATTGATAGTAAAAACAATTTTGAGAAGAGAAATCATTTATCATCACACACAATCAAACTTCTCTGTAACCTGTTTCAGACTCACGATACTCTTCTCACTAGACAGTGGACTGTTCCATTATACCCGTAGGTGTTACCCTAATTAACCTTCTAGGTCAGTGTCCGTGAGTGTCCATCTGGGTTCCATTATACAACCGTCAGGTGTTACCCTGGGTTCCGTCAATTCTAGTGTCAGGGTGTCCGTCAACTGGGTGTCTGTCAACTGGGTGTCTGTCAACTGGGTGTCCATCAACTGGGTGTCTGTCAATTGGGTGTCCGTCAACTGGGTGTCCGTCAATTGGGTGTCTGTCAATTGGGTGTCTGTCAATTGGGTGTCCGTCAACTGGGTGTCTGTCAATTGGGTGTCCGTCAACTCAATTGGGTGTCTGTCAATTGGGTCTGTCAACTGGGTCGTCAATTTGGTGTCTGTCAATTGGGTGTCTGTCAATTGGGTGTCCGTCAACTGGGTGTCTGTCAACTGGGTGTCTGTCAACTGGGAGATAACTCCCGGAACCATCATGTAACCGACGGTTCCCGCACAAATAACCACTTGGAGGGATGTCACGGCAGGATGAAGAATTACAAATGCTAATTTCGCTCAAATTTGTACATGAAGTGAATAGATACTATATTATAATTCCATTTACAATTTAGTGCTTCGCTGTTCATAAGTGACTAAATGCTGAATGCGCTTATTTGTCGTTCCTGTTTTCAGTATAACCCATGTGACTGTAACAACATTTTAATCCCATTGCAACCAGTCAGTGGTGCGTGGAGACTGTCGGCTCCTCCCTTGCCATTTTGTTTTGACACGCTTTAGAAGGTCGACGATTCGGTAATGAACCCTAAAGTGTTCATTGAAGAATTTCATATCTCAAAGTCGAGAACAATTTTAACCACACATTCATATGTCGCTTAATCTACCTACTTGTCTTGACGGAACATGACAATAAACCTGAAAGTAACATAGAGTTCCCTCTTATTCGTATTTATGGTCTCACAACCGACCAGAATTTACTGCCGACCCAAATTAAATGCCCTATCCTTTGGCCCCTCGCTATAACTGTTCGCATTGTTCGAAAACGCGATTTATTTAATTTTAGTTCATGAATTGCTTCTATACGCAATTAAAAGTCCTTTAACAGTGAGAGAGTTTAGTTTGTACGCCGCACTCAACAACATTCCAGCTATATGGCGGCGGTCTATAAATAGTCCAGTCTGGACCAAACAATCCAGTGATCAACAACATGAGCCTCGATCTACGCAATGGATGACATGTGTCCGATCCCTGACCACCCGATCCTGATCTATTAAGAAATATCCGAGCATGATAAATTCATTTATAATTACACCACAACGCCCAGTAATACGAACATTCATTCTATTTCATGGGGAGCGGTGAGGTAGCCTAGTGTTTAAGCGTTCGCTAGTGACGCCGAAGACCCAGGTTCGATTCCCTACATGGGCAAAATGTGTGAAGCCCATTTCTATTGTCCCCCGCCGTGATATTACTGAAATGTTGCTAAAACGCGGCGTAAAACCATACTCACTCACTCTAATGTATGGCTTACTGTTAAAATAGCCGAAAAACATACAATAACACTAAGCTCCATGTCAAAGCGCTAAAAGTTCTCGTAACTCACACTTACGTACGTACAGTTTATTTGAGATAGTACCTTTACGGCGGTATTGACATTTTTTGGTAATTATTTCATTAGGTTAGAACATGATATGACACACCAAACAGTTTTTACTCAAGTGTTAGCATGCCATGAAATATGCAAACGATATGACGAAAGTTCGTTTTGCCTCAAGTGGTACCGGCGCACGTTCTGTTGAAGAAAGATCTGACGGCATACGGTTGTCGTTAATTATTAACGACAACTCTGACTATAGGCATTGGGTCGAGTATCTCGACTTATTGTTTTTCTTGCCGTAAAAACGAACGATACTTGCCTTTCACCTTAAAGTAACAGGCAAGTGGTATTTAAATCAGTCGATAACCTGTATATTTTATGAGTGATTAAAACGTATTATATTCCCGCTTAAGTTTAAAGGTGAAGGCGTTGAGGGATAAGATTCATTAGTGTGATGCTTCAGCTAAAGCATTATTTATTTAGATATGAGAGCGTATTGTTTACACTGCTAAAACCCCATAACAATTACACTGGGTGGGATATCAGGTAGGCACACACCCGTGCAGAATTGAACCTTTAGTTTACCGACTTGGCAAATCAACTCGGCTACCACACAATCCCTTATAGCAAAGTAGCAATGCTCTCATTCAGTGGGCCGCTTAATGCCCATACGGCATTTATAATATCGCGTTTACGGTGAGAATATATTGTGAACGCAATAGTGCCTTTTCTGTCATGTAAAGAAAAGGAATGCAGTTGTGACGTATTTTAATCACGTATTAATTCAGATCTTCCATCCCATGGGTAGAGGTCGATGGCGTCCTTTTGATCGACAGGCTCGCTAACCTTGCCACGATCTCCTGCTTGTGGTTTCGCAACAATATACGATCCCTGGTTTGAGTAAGGACGGAATATGTTCCCAGGAACCTATACCGGCCCTAAAAGGAGACCAAACGGGTCGGGTAGTCAAGCTAGCCAGTTGTCTGATCCATTTAATATACAGACCACGGTCATAGTAATAGACTGCGGCGTAAAAGAAAAAACTGAAACTGAAAGAAAGATAATTCAGTCACCAGCACACCCAAGTTAACGCTAGATGGCGGAGCGACAATATTGTTTTCCTTACCTTATTCACTGAGATCCATATCTACAAGTATCCAATATGACTTCTATTTGGTCATCACCTGTAAAAGAAGAAATACAGATAAATAACTTGATATCTGACAGACATTTTTGAGAAACTAGTTAATCGGTATCATCATCAAATATGGTCATAATAAACGGTATCAGAATCTTCATTTTTGTTTATACACTACCGGACAAAAGTGTATTCACCCGTATGGGCGAAACTGACACAAACAGGAAATGGATAATTAATGGCAATGTGTTTGATAATTTTATCATAATTGTGTTTTGCACTTATTCGGCCACCCTTTTCAGCTTGGTAACCTTTTGAAAACGTTTGTAATTTTTTGTTCCAAACTAAATTTTATTCAGATGACACAACCCGTTTTCACGTGTCTACCTGCTTGTGTCTGGCAGTTTAGCATTAATATATGTATGTGGTTTAATTAAAAAAAGTGCCGAAAGTCTTTCTCAAATATCTTTTCGAGAAATACAAAATATTTGGACATATTGGACGACAGAATTCCATTGTTAACGTTCTGGTTACATCACTAGGCGCTGATAACTTGTACCTATTGAAAAAAATAGAAACAACTCAAAATTCTTCAAATTTCGAAACACTGTGTAGTTTGAAATATTAGATGCATTAACACAACAGAAAGGTTGTATTAACTTAACCCTGTCAAAAAGATCAGAATACCATGTTAAAAACATAAAACGCTCTGATACAGATGGATGATATTTTTTCAAGACGAAAAAACGACCTGGCAACAGAGAAGAAAGTGCGATGAAGTAATTCTGGACACCTTGAAAACAACTTGCAAACACAAATGAAACATCCTCAAACTTTGAGAAAAACGCGAAAACTTTCAAAACAAAGACAAACAGAACACGTGGGAATATTGGAAAAGCGTCAGAAACCCAATCTCGTCTGTTTCAAGTCTTTGTATGTTTCCAATAGACGGCGCCTATTTGCGACGTTTGGCTTAAGAGCACATGTGTATTCTAGCATTGCTCGGATTTAACCTCGTTCTGACGTGAAATCTGGCCGAACGGAACCGAGTTATTCATTCGGCCAACATCGGAAGATGGAATGAACCATACGGTGTGCTCGGAAAGACAACGTCCGGTTCTGGCGTGTTGTCTCACAACAAACTGTACATCATTTTTTGACAGGTCAAACAAGCATCTTTGGTGCACCTGGCCCTCGTTTGTTGTTCAAATGGAAATTTGTTTCGCCTCTGCCTCATGAAACACAAGTTATCAATTTGGATGCATCCTATACAGAAATCCGCATAAAAATACTGAAAAATTATAAGTCGCCTTATTCGCTTAACATGTGCTTCTTGAGGTCACCGAGAAAGTGTTTCTTAGATAACAAGCTGGTTTTCTTTCCGGGTTTGTTGTTGTTGGTTTGTTGTTGTTGGTTTGTTGTTTAACGCCGCACTCAGCAATATTCAAGCTACATGGCGGCGGTCTGTAAATAATCGAGTCTGGACCAGACAATCAAATAAGGTGCCTGACTCTGAGGGTGTGGGTTCGGATGGGACTCAACCCCAAAAGTACTAGAATCTGTACTTTACTAAGAAAGTGTAATCCCAAATATAACATATGTTAAATCAAATAATCGACATTATGAGCGTCGATCTACGCAATTGGGATACGATGACATGTGTTAACCAAGTCAGTGAGCCTGACCACCGCCTCTTACGACAAGCACGGGTTGCTGAAGACCAATTCTAACCCGGATCTCCACGGTCCCGTAAAATGAAATAAATTGATCACATCACGACATTAGCCGAAACGGAGACTGTATGAAATTATTACACTTTCATTTCCAGTACACTTAAGTAATTTATGTACACATTTACACTGTTAATTATATATTGTTAATTATATGCATTTAGTGCTGATATACATACATATGTACTGCACATATTTGAAAATGCAACACGTCGGAACTACTTTCAGTCGACCTCAATGATAAAGTGGTTTTCAGAGTAAGGTCATACAGATCACGAAGAAAAAATATAAAATATCTGAGACTGTTCTTCACTCCTGGTTGGGCTACTCATGAAAAGAGGAACTTTGTCACTTGCCGTGCTCCAAGGCTGTACTGAATGCTGAGCCTTTGGTTGTATAGTAATTCAATTCTTCAGAGAGGCAAGTCTAAATAGGAGGATAATACAAGGACCCAGGTCTGAAATATATTATTTTTTAAGAAATGATCATTTAAACAATTGATTTTGACCTTAGAGACTTGTGCAAGTCTATCAAGTTTCATGATGAGACTCCCATGTTTATGTCAAGAGAAGACAAATACCTTCGTTGTAATCTCAGTTCAAGAAAGTGGTTGTATAATTTTCATCTTAACCAAAAGCAATCAATTTTCTCATCCTTTTGTTTAGACTTTGAAAGCTCCAAGATAACATAACATCGCTGAAACAGCGATAAAACAATGAGGTTAATTAAATTTGAAGGATTTCTGCAGAAACTGCCTCATACAAACTTGATAAGATAATTGAAACTGTTACAGTACTCCAACTCGCTTCTAAACAAAGCCAGAACGAACATATTCCGCACTTAACAAACGCTGGAATATAAAGCTGGCGATCTACACAGACATCTCCCGAACCTCGACCTTACACCAAAATCTGTCGCTGGCAGATTAATTAGTTTATATTCCAGTGTAATCGCCGACAAAATTGATCGCCAGACCTCTCTGACGTGCCAGAGGTACACAGGAAGTAGCACCCAGCTTGATTGATTTATGCGCATGCTCAGGTGTACACCGTTTTGAACTTGGAAGAATAACATACGAGCAGATTACTTTATACACGTTCTACCTGCATTTGGCGCTGGGGGACGAACCGTTGACCTGAAATCGTTAACCTGAGTATTTTTGCACAGCATATGTTGCACCGTTGAATAGTAATAATTGTCAGGTGTCAGTTTGGATGTTATCAGGGAAAAGAACTTGCGGAGTATCGCAGTGTTGGCTGATGCATCTTAGTCAAACCCCGCCTTCTACTTCAACAATGATCGTCGAGTGGATCTATTAGGAAACCAGATAAATAATCACTTCGAGGCTTATTAACTCAATGATGCCCAAGAGGATGTAGTGATTAATTTACATCCAGTGTGCGGTCTTACTTAGTCTCGGGGTGCACTTCTGGGCAGGTAATGTGTTCCAGTGACGAGGAATATTATAGATGGAGCATGAGTGAGTGAGTATGGTTTTACGCCGCTTTTAGCAATATTCCAGCAATATCACGGCGGGTGACTCAAGTAAAGGGCTTCACACTTTGAAGCCATGTGGGAAATCGAACCCGGGTGTTCGGCGTGACGAGCGAACGCTTTAACCACTAGGCTACCCCACCGCCACAGGTGGAACATGAAAAACGAATGAGTTGGTTGTTGGGTGGGTGAATGGGTGGATGAGTGAGTAAGTGAATAGAGAGATACGATGACGTGTGTCAACCAAGTCAGAGGGACAGACCACCCGATCTCGTTAGTCGCCGCTTATGACAAACATGGGCTGCTGAAGATCAATCCTAACCCGGATCTTCACGGGTCGCAACAACGGCGGAATTATTAACAGTAGTAGGAGTTGTAGCAGCAGCAACTGCAGTAGTAGTCGTCGTCGTTGTCGTCGTCGTAGTCGTAGTAGTAGTAGTAGTCGTCGTAGTCGTAGTAGTAGTTGTAGTAGTAGTAGTCGTCGTCGTCGTCGTAGTAGTCGTCGTCGTTGTCGTCGTAGTTGTAGTAGTAGTTGTAGTAGTAGTAGTCGTTGCCGTCGTAGTTGTAGTAGTAGTTGTAGTAGTAGTAGTAGTAGTCGTTGTCGTCGTCGTCGTAGTAGTAGTAGGCATAGCGCCAGAAGTGACAGCATGTGCCGTACTACAGTCGCAGTACTACATGTGGTAAACATCTGTCTGTCTCGGCGCCCCCCCCCCCAAAATATCCCCATTCATACAGGCGTCATGAATGAAAAGACACATTAAGACATACCGAGTCGTCTGTCGTGTTTTGCCACCTAGTACAACACCGATTGTAGATGCATCATGTAATTGACTTCAGACAGCGTCGAGCGCCATTCCGACACAATCCCAGTCATCTTAACGCTTACGGCACGTGACATTAGCCGAGTGTTTGACGGGCCTGTTAACACCTCGTCAGTGTAGGTAATTAGGCGGGAATGTAAGTGACAAGAGTATTACTACACGTGTAGACATGCATGCCTCTGATGTTACATGAGACCCGTTCCTATCACAGAACACTGTTGGCAACGTAGTGTTTGTTGCTTTATGTCCCATTCAGCTGTATGCCAGTTGAGCGGTGGATAGGCTTGTGGTTAAAGCGTTTATTCAGTATCCAAAGTGTGGGTTCGATTCTGGCATGAGTATACTATGTGAAGCCCATTTATATTTCTTTTATATATTGCTGGAATATCATAATAGAGGCGAAAAACAATATTAACTCACTCACTCAGTAGACTGGGAAAATACACTAACGCTTAGTCTCTGAATATATATAATTATATAGTAACAAACTAGCCCATTTAAATTGAAAAGGAGCCCCAGGGAGACCTGAAGAAATCTAGACTTGCTTCATTTACGGCTTTAGCACTGCAGGTAGGGCTTGGCAGTAGGGAAAATAATGTGGTTCAGGAACTGTGAGACAGACTATGGGGTAAAGACCGCGACCTCTATGTAATCGAGTCTTGCCAAACAAGTGAGCGATATTACGAACACGTAGACGTTGTCATGTTCGGAAGCCATGTCGTTACGATCTCAGCTTGACCTTCCTCTCCATGTATTGGAGACCTGTTGTACCCGGAGGTGCTCAGTGGTTAATACTATTGGTATGAGTGAATGAGCATGTTTTTCATCAACGCTTTGCACAGTATTTCTATTATAGCTTAGTGGGGCGGTGGGATAGCCTAATGGTTAAAGCGTTCGCTCGTCACGCCGAAGATCCGTGTTCGATTCCCCACATGGGTACAATGTGTGAAGCCCATTTCTGGTGTCCCCCGTCGTGATATTGCAGGAATATTGCTAAAACA